GTGTGAACCTTCTGGAGATGATATCGCAAACTAAGCGCCGTTTTAAAGGCCCGATCGCAGTCGGCGGCCGCTTCGCACCGATATAACGGTCGATCAGTGGTCCGATGGGTGTCCTCGTGTATCCGCAAACCAGACCTGTAGGCCGTCTGATACGCACAGCCCGGGTGTTGGCAGGCGTACCGCTTAACCACATCGTGCGCCGCCATGTGATGCCGTTTCAAAAGTGCGGCCGTATTGTAAATCTTATCACATCCGTCGTAATCGCACGGAAACTGACGCGCCGGGTGTCGGAGCCGTAGGTGACGGTTGAGCGCCGACAGGTCTGCAAAAGTCTTGTCGCACGGCGTGTGCGGGCAGTGGTATTGCTGAGTGATTGGGTCAAAGCAGCGCTGGTTCTCCAACTTTTGCCGCAACCGCTGGCCATCGACGGCCTCCGGGTCGGCGGTGTGCACTCTCACCACGTGTTGTCGCAACAGGTATTTGTAGTCAAACACGGCGTCGCAGTCGGCGTCCAAATTGCACCGATACGGCCGCTCAGTCACGTGAGTGACCCGATGTCGGCGCAGGTGTGACACCCGGTCGTACGTTTGGCCGCAGCCCACGTGTTGGCACACAAACATTGTCCGCGTCCGGCCATCGCTGGTCACCGAAGTGGTGGTCAACGGCTGCTGTCCGTCGGCGCCAGAGCTCGCAGTCGTCTCTTCCGTTAAACAATCGACAATTTTATTGTTTTTCAATTGATTTTTGGCCTCGACTTTGGTTTTGATTGTTTTACTCTTTGGTTTCTTTGCGGCGATCGCTGTCTTCTTCGTCACACTCTTCTTCGTGAGTCTCTTCCGATTGTTATCGACATATGTCTCGTCCGAGTCTTCATTGTCTTCTTCCGGTGTCTTTCGTATCGCCTTTTTCTGGCCGTTTGATCGACTCGTTTGCTGGCCATCTGTCACATCGATAACACTCTTCCGGATCTCCTCTAGTGATGCCTTCTTCTGCTTGTCATCGATGATTGTCTTCAACTGATCCGTGAAAGCAGTGATGAGTTGTTTGTCTTCTTCGGTGACATTAGTATCGCATTTGCAATAAATGGCAAACAAGTGGTCTTTGAATGCATTCAAAGCATTGATATAATTGTTTGCAAACAATAACTCATTGAATAGTCTATTGTTTTCATGCCTTAAATCATCGAAAATATCATTAATTTTAATCATAACTCCATTTAAAGCCATAATTCATATCAAAATCAGTTTTGTCTGCAAAACATTGTTTACAAACCACTCACACAAAGGGACCGACACTTCATTGCAACCAATAGTGGCATTGAAAGCATATTAAAAACTTTGTAATTTATAAATTAATAATTTATTTAATTATAAACATAAAGTTATAAAATAATACCGGCAATAAAATGTACACTATATTATAAATTACAAATTATATCACAAACAACTCATTTGTTTGGATGCGATTGCTTGACATGTTTGGCCAAATTGCCGCTATTACTACATCTATAGCTACAGCCCGGCCAATGGCAGGCGTACGGCCGCAGATTTGAGTGGACATTCTTGTGTTCCCGAAGATTGGTAATAACGCGGAACCGTTTGCCACATTCGGGCCAATCACAGACGTACGGCTTGTCTCCCGTATGAATAGTCTTGTGATGGTTAAGTCGGTTACGAGTGCCCCTATAGTCACAACCGGGCCATTCGCACGCGTGGATCGGTTTGGGTTTCTTCACATACGGCTTGTTTTGGTGAACAGTTATCACGTGTTTCTTCAGATACCACTCCGAGCGGAACAGCTCTGAACACTGATCACAGGGTAGGGTCGGTTCCGAGCAATGAGTGGCCATATGGTTGCGCAGGTGTGTACTCGTGAAGTAGCTTTTATCGCATCCCGGGTGCGGACACGTGTGCCGCGTTGTCGACGCCGTCGTATCGGTGGGCGACCTGTGCTCTCTCGTCACGTGATTCTTAAGGCCGAGCTGTGATCCAAAAGTTCGCTGACATTCGGCTTCTTCGCACCGATAGACGGGCCGATCGGCCAAATGGGTGACCGCGTGGTGGCGGAGGTATCGCTTGACGTGCGTGGCGTACGAACATCCCGGCTGTGGGCAGTGGTAGGCCCTAACGGTGTTGTGTGTGAGCCGGTGATCGTCCACTTGTTTAAGCGTTTTGAATGTCTTGTGACAGCCGTCGTGTCCGCACGGGAACTGTTCGCACGAGTGAACGTGACGCGTGTGTTGCCTAAACTTCCTGTGCGTGTCGTATGATTTGCCGCCGCAGTCCGCGTGCGGACACACGTATCCCCCGGCGATCGGATCCAAGTATTGCTGATCGTCGAGCTTCTGCTGTCGTACGGCTTCGGCCGCCGAATTGCCGTGAATTTTAGTCACGTGTCGGTCGAGTAGTGATGAGTACCGAAAGGACGACTCGCAGTCCGCGTATTGACACCGAAACGACCGGTCAGTGGC